TGCCTGTTCATCTGTTGTCCGAACATGGAAAATTGTTGTTGGTCGATGAGCGGGATAATACAGCTCCTGCTCAACAGTTGGCATGATGATTGGCGTTGGAATCAATGCTAGTCATTTGCTTGTTGAAGTCGAATAAAGTGGTCATGGGATCTAATCTCAGTATGGTGACCTTTGTATAATTCATCTTTTCTCATTATTTCATACCCAGCTGTATATGGATATGGATAATCCAGGAAAGATCAATGCCACGAGGTTTGGCAAAGGCGCATCCGGTAGATATATGGAGGTATAACGTTGCCAAAACTATTCAATTGTTGCATACAAAATGCATATATCAATGCTGCAAAGTACATATAATGTCGATATGCAAAAATACAAAATGGATATGACATGCCACACGAATGCAGCATTGGCAATTCTTGCATTAGAGACTTCTCATTAGCGGCATATACCTTATGGAGTGATTATAAAACTCTATTTGGATATGAGAACTTTGCGTGTAGAAGTCCCATGTAAAAAAAAAATTCATTGTTTTTCTGTAATTGTTTTTAATTAACTGTTATTTTCCTAATAACCCAATTTGGCTCATGTTTTAGACCTTTTCTATTAATAAGACCCCAGGAACCTTTAAAAACACATAAAACCTTATTGAAAAAAACAACTGAACGTTTTTTTTTTAATTTTGTTAAAAGAATTACTGCACAAAAGTGCTCATATCCCAAAAAAAAATTATCTTCAAAAGTTACAAAGCAACAAAGCTGATATTTGCAGGGAATATCCACATTTGCTTTTTTTTGGACATTAGAAAAAAAACAGAACTCATATATCTGCCATAGGTTGGGAAATAGGAGTGGGAAATAGGGGCGCTTTTCCCTTCCGGTTACCTCAAATACCTAACTTTGCTAAAAAAAAAATCAGTTAAGCTCGACATTTTGAATTTTGTTATCTGGCAAGGCTTACTAATGCAAAGTGCGTAATACAAAATGTCTAATTCTTTTTTAAGTTCAAAGTGTTGAATGCTAGCTGCATTCGTGTGGCATGTCATTGGATTTTGGAGTTGATATACATTTTTTATTTTTGCACATCGACACTGGTACTTTGCAGCATTGACATATGCATTTTGTGATGACTATATTTTTTATTTCAAAACTTCGACACACTGAATAATTTTGGCACCGTTATACCTCCATAGACATGATCCTCGTGAACTTAGTTGTTATAGCCTACTTTTAAATTCGTTATTTATTCCCTACCTTTCACTCAGCCCACAGCAATAACTACATACCCCAGACACAGTTGTTCAACAGGACATCAGTTTTTGTGTCATTTTACGAACACAACTCCCTCGTTAGGCTTACTTACTGATTGCACTCAGTTTTCTAAGTAAGCTAACAGTTGTTGTCAATTGATTGTTCAGGGTAACAAAAATCGACTAATTCATGCCAAGGGAGAGACACAGTATATTTTTGAATTCATAGTAACTTTTCAGACCACAGTTAATTGAAAATATATCCGAAGCGTGGTTTTGCAAAGCCATGCAGTGCAATCGGAGAATTTTTTCAGTTTTCAAATGTTGGGGAGTCTATAACGTGCATAGCCCGTAACACTATGGGACTAGCTTTATTGATCCATCCCAAATACTAGATGTTTTTTCCATTCCGACCTACACCTATAACCGGCTTGAAAAATCTGATGTTATTAGCTCTATGTGGGATTGAACCTATACCTCCAGGTTATCTTGCAATTCAAATTCACTGAGCCACCCAAGGTTTCGGTAAAGGGATCAGCATTGGCGTGCAGTCGTGTATAGTCCAAAAGATTATATATCAAATTTGTCAAAGTTTACTTTGATTGATGACTCTGGTTTTTAATCATAATGTAAATTCAATCATGATCAGTCATGAATTTATATCGAATATGACAGATTGGTATATAATTGATTGGCAATCTTTATTGAGGATTGTGATCTATATTTTATGCAATTATTACCTTTATGCCCCTCCCTTACTCTCAAATTCTTCATTATTGAGTTCTTAAATACCTAGTGCCATAGGACGCCCTGTGACATTTATTTGGCCCCAAATCGCCCACCTTCTCCATATATAAAGATTCGTTGATCGCACCCGGTGTCCCCATGCCTTGTTGACACACGGTTTTTCCCTTAAGATCATCAACATCAAAGTGAGGGAAACTTTCATTAATTTTTGTTGGTAAAGCGATTTTTTATGTAGATTGAGGTTGTAGAGCAGTAGGTTAGTTCCTTCGAACCTGATCTTTGAATGGGTCGAATTAAAACGTCGAAGCTGCGGACGTTGATAACAATGACGAATTGTTGGAATAGGACTGAGGCACTGTTTTCTACAAACAAAATTTCCCTTATTGCACCCTGCATGGCGTTGCTCACATGGTGCAGAAAAGTAAAACGTAATTTCATTTTTAAAGTTGAAAATTGAAATGGAGTAGGCTGGTGCGTTGTCGTGACATAATTTTGATAATTACACACTGCACGGCGATGCTCGTGCTCAATACCCCAAACTACATTTAATTTTAATTTCATTTTCTGGTACAATAATACTTGTTAGTGTGATTCAATGTGTCGTAATATGTTGAATTGATATGTATACTATACTATATCATGTATATTATTGGAAATCTATAAACGTACATAAAAGTAAAAACTGCCTTCGATTATTGCTTTACATGTTTTAATTTCACAAGTGTTATATCCATTGCAACTGTTTTTATCAAATATAATTAGTCTTTAAAATAAGGAGTTGATCGATAATATAACATTTAAAAATATTGGTTTAGAATTTCACTATTCGATTAAATTTTTAGATCTCCTTTTTTGTTGCATCTAATTGCATCAAGCTTATTCAACATTCACTTTAGTGCAAGGTCGAAGGACTGGGACCATGTTCCCGAAAAATCTCCTTAGATAATTTCATTGTTCCAGTTAGTCATTCACATTCACGTTCCATTTATACAACATAATCATATCACCTAAGTCATCCACATTCATGTTCTATTTATACAGTATTATCATATCACCTAAGTCATCCACATTCATGTTCTATTAATACCACATTATCATATCACCTAAGTCACCCACATTCATGTTCCATTTATACAACATAACCATATCACTTAAGTCATCCACATTCGTGTTCTATTTATACAGCATTACCATATCACCTAAGTCAACCACATTCATGTTCTATTTATACCACATTATCATATCACCTAAGTCAACCACATTCATGTTCTATTTATACCACATTATCATATCACTTAAGTCATCCACATTCATGTTCTATTTATACCACCTTATCATATCGCGTAAGTTATTAACATTCATATTCTATTTATACCACCTTAACATATCGCGTAAATTATTAACATTCATGTTCTATTTATACCACCTTAACATATCGCGTAAGTTATTAACATTCATGTTCTATTTATAACACCTTAACATATCGCGTAAGTTATTAACATTCATGTTCTATTTATACCACCTTAACATATCGCGTAAATTATTAACATTCATGTTCTATTTATAACACCTTAACATATCGCGTAAGTTATTAACATTCATGTTCTATTTATAACACCTTAACATATCGCGTAAGTTATTAACATTCATGTTCTATTTATACCACCTTAACATATCGCGTAAGTTATTAACATTCATGTTCTATTTATAACACCTTAACATATCGCGTAAGTTATTAACATTCATGTTCTATTTATAACACCTTAACATATCGCGTAAGTTATTAACATTCATGTTCTATTTATACCACCTTAACATATCGCGTAAGTTATTAACATTCATGTTCTATTTATAACACCTTAACATATCGCGTAAGTTATTAACATTCATGTTCTATTTATACCACCTTAACATATCGCGTAAGTTATTAACATTCATGTTCTATTTATAACACCTTAACATATCGCGTAAGTTATTAACATTCATGTTCTAATTATACCACCTTAACATATCGCGTAAGTTATTAACATTCATGTTCTATTTATACCACCTTAACATATCGCGTAAGTTATTAACATTCCTTATCTATTCATACCACCTTAACATATCGCGTAAGTTATTAACATTCATGTTCTAATTATACCACCTTAACATATCGCGTAAGTTATTAACATTCATGTTCTATTTATACCACCTTAAAATATCGCGTAAGTTATTAACATTCATGCTCTATTTATACCACCTTAAAATATCGCGTAAGTTATTAACATTCATGTTCTATTTATACCACCTTAAAATATCGCGTAAGTTATTAACATTCATGCTCTATTCATGTTACATTATATTACGTAAGTCATCTACATTCAAACTTTTTCGTTCTATTCATATATTCATACTATTTGTCATCCGCATTCACGTTATTTTACTCTTTTTCATTCTTCACATATCATACCACATAATTCGCCCATATTATTATTCTATTCTTCTATATTCATACCAACATATCACGTAAGTTAACCATGTTCACGTTTTAATCTTACCACATATTATATCACGTAATTCGCCAATATTATTATTCTATTCATATATTCATACCACAATATCACGTCAGTTCACATTATTTCACATACTGTATATTTGAATGTATAGTGATCAGTTATAACATTTTGTGTCATTTCAACTAAATGTTTTATCTTATTGAGTCGTCATCTAGAGTACAATTCCTAGACTGATTTTTATCCAGAACAAGTTCTGCTGACTTGGAAATTGAGTTTATTCCTTTTGGTTAGGACAATAAAGGTACTTAAGTTATGCATCTTGTGAACCCTTGACAGTCAAAATGGCAAAATTTTCTTATTGTACACTGCAAGGTATAGAAGGTACAAAAAGTATGACATAAAAATCCTGAACTACTTTTCTATCTTGCAATTCCAGTTATGGACGTTATCCAATATTGTCACACTCTGATACATTTCAAACCTCTGTATATTAATATTATGTTGTTTTAAACTATCGTATCTTCGTTGTGTATGTCTAACCAATATATATCACCAGTTCGATTTTCATTACTTTTTGGTACAACTTGATTCATCTTTTCTGCATCTGTAATAGCAAAATAAAAAGTTCTTGATATAACTTGATTGTAATTCTCAGGCATTTAAGCCACATCAACCATCTAACTCTTAATCAGAATGGTGCAAATAAATCTGTATTCCCAATAGACAGTCAATGTTAACCATTACTTTAATATTGACTGCTACTGCAAGCAAACATGAATTTGAGAGTTAGCCCAGGGTGATTGCTTAGTACGAAATGGTACTGGTTGTTACCACCAGGTCATTGGAATATAGGATACACATATTACAAAATCCATAACGTAATCTTTGTGTTATTATGTTCGTATTACTGGGTGTGGTTTTGTTCCTTATATAGAATAATTTACTATATAATCTGTATTACAGATTATTATCTAGGATTAAATTACAGATAATCTTTTTTATAGATAAATCTATCTGGTAATTGTCTTATAATTTGACTCGGTAAACAAATGAAATGGTGTTTTACATCTTACTTTTTCTGCCACTGAACGCACTAATGATCAGCGATATTAGCCTATGGGTCTTAAAGGGACAGGTAGTCTCAGAAACTGGAATTTTATTAGCTGAGCTAAGCGGTAATAGCGTTCAAAGCTCATCATCGTAATTTGAGTCTCCAAATCCATATCTGTCGGGAATTTTCTGCGTTCGAAAGTTAAAATGACGACTCGTCAAAATAAGATACTCTGTGATATATGGAAAAGACATCTATAGAAATAGTGAGTACAATTCCTAGTTTGAAGTATTTTAAAAGGAATTATGTGATTTTCCAACAGTCTGTAGCACATGGATCCTCGGACGCCATTCTGACTGACTTGAAACCGATGTGAAACAAAACGAAGGCATAATTTGGACGAACTGTAGTCGACAATGAGAATATTTTGCAAGAAAAAACCCTCAACTTATAACTATTCGGTCAGAGCTCGTTGAACTGGAGCTAAAATGTGACTGGTATCCTCAGTAGTATAGTTCAACATGGAAAACAAGTAGGCGAATAGAGCTGCTAGGGCACAATTTCATTCAATTGGTATCTCTTGACCCATTATAAGCTTAATTATGTTTGTTTGTTTGTCATTTTCATCAACACAAAAACTAAAACTCTGAGCACTATATTGGAGTTGGTATTTCAATTCATACAAAAATAATTGTCAAAATGCGATTCGGTAAAAAAAAAGTTGTTGGACCATAAGACATCATATTTCATAAAGGACAGTGCCAGTCATTATATCCGAAAATAATCATCGTGCTTAACCTTCAAAACGATTGTTAAGATTTTCAAAACACTGCGCATTATACACGCAAATATATGATAAACATCGTGTATAGAGGTTTAATAACAAGAGTCAAAACCTACCTGTACAATTAAAGTATTGATCGTATGGATTGTGAAGTGTTGTACACTTTATTAATTGATGATGGCAAGACTGAGCTATTGATCTTATGTCGTCTTTTCTCTTATCGTCTACTTTCAATTGTTTTTGTATGTCAGGGTCTCTATTGGATTCAGTATTCGACTTTCCGGGTAATTTCGCCATCTCAATCAGGTTAGAATTGATCTGGGAGGTTTCTCGTGATAACCATTTCTCATAAGCGACAGAATTTTCACTTGAAGAATTTATTTGTAATTCTGGAGGTAATTTCATTTTCACATTCACGCTACAGTCACTAATTGAATCCATGTTCAATGGCTCTTTAAACTTTTCTGTCATTGTTTGACTGTAATGGAAATTTATTCTGGGCAAATATGATTTATGGCATCCTTTTGACCGATGGCAATCTGGTTTCGTGTTGCGAGACGTTGAAGAAAGTTGATTTTTAAACGTATCGTTATGGATGTTGGAAGCTTGTCCGATGTCGTTACGACCAGACCATATTTCTTCGTACGACCGATATTCATCATCGGATTGTCTTTCACTGCTTGTCGTTGAACTGTAATCTGTTGCGATTCTAATTTGCGACAAAGGTCGTTTATGATAGCTACTTACGTAGCTTTGAGACGTGCTTTTAGCTTGAGACATTGAAAGAGAGTTTCGATGCCTTCTCTTTGAAACTGATTTTCGAACATATGATCGTTTTCGTTTTGGTAAAGCCTTCCCGTGATTTGTCACTCCAGTTTTGGTGTTTTCGTAACATTTCCGTTGCGACAGATCTATATCAACCATAGAGGCAACCTTGTCAATAGCTCTTTCGAACATATCTGTATTTTTAGTAGGTTTAACGTATTTGTCGTTGAAGATTTTATGTGACCACCATTTCTTTTCAGGTATCGCATAGATATCGCCTTTGGGACAAACTATGTTGTCATTCAAATGAGAAGTATGCTGGCTTTCTGATTGTATCAGAGAATCATGGTACTCTCCAAGACGTTCATTGCCGACAGTCACAACATCTTCAGTTTTGGGTTGCAAGATTGGTGTCACTGGTTCACGGTTAACATTGGCATTGCAGCATCGACATTTACACAAACAAAAATGTTCTGCACTTTTAAGTTCGTTATTTACAATAGGAACGAATGAATTTGCTTGCGTTTCAAATGGGTATGGTGGATGAGAGTGTAGCGAATCCTTCAATGTTTTCAATCGATGCGGATTATGTTTGTGATACTGTAACACAATCCTCTTGCAAGATTCACACACTTCATCGATTCCAATCTCTACCAAGTCATGATCAAAATTTTCTGAACCATCTTTTTGGAAGCTTACAAGAGCATCCTTCTGGAAGGTTGCTGAAGTGTCCTTATGGATCCCCGCTGAAAGATTTGAGATTCTCATTTGTTTTAGCTCCTTGTGTTCCATCCAATCTTCTATGACTATCTTATTAACATCTACGGACTCATCCGTGTCTTTACTGGATTTCAGTTCTAAATTGTGCCGAGCGAAGTTGGGTAATGATTGGATCGAAAAGTCGGTACACAATCTTAAGATTTCTGGATGCATCATTGATGATCCCAAATCAACAAGTCTCATGTCATTGGAGTTGCAAGTGATCCCGTGAATTCCAGCTCTTTGAATATGCAAATTTTCATCTGCGTACTCTTTGGTCCATTTTCGTTTTGTGATTTTCCGTCTGTGGTATCGTACAAAGGAAAAAGCTAGTACGGCTATCATTAGTACAATCAAAAAACTATATGGTATCCATATGACTTCCGGTTTAATGGACGAAAGGTTTCCAGTAGTGCCGTTCATTTTTGATATTTTGCTATGACAAATGGTATAAAAAGTTCAATCCTCTTCTACACTCACTCTACAGCATTAGGTGACATACTCCACCCACTATATTGTCAATAGAACAGTTATTTAGGTGCTCTGTAAGCGACATTAAACAAAAAGAACACAAACTCGAAAACAGGATAACAGAAGTCAAATATTCGAAGTAATTTGGATATTTTCTGTATGTTTTTTACACATTATTAGACACATACAACACACATGCGGAAGCATCAGAACTTCTTATCAAATATCGAAGGGTAATTTGGATCTTGTCCTTTTCCTCCTACCACATTGACTTCCAAAACAAAAACATAATTTTTCAAAAGATAAACACATAATTTAATTTACTAACACGTTAAGAGGTTTGAACAATAACACAAATGAATTTTAACAATGTCAGATCGATATTCCATTCAAAAGGTAACAATGATTTGAGTTTTCTTTAATGCTCCTGGCATTAAGTCTCCTCAGAATTTGCTTTTTTTTCTTCTGACATTTCCTTGGAACTTAAATTACCATTTCCAATGATAATCTTATTTTCCAAATAGTTTAGAATGGTTACAATCCATGACATGACAAAGACCACATCTGACAGACTGTGACACACTACTTCCGGTGCTTCCTTAGCAACACAAACAGGTTTTTCAAGCCGATATAGGATACTTGACTATGTAATTAATTATTAAGGCCTCTCGGGATTAATTTGTTAGAAATTGCCACTAATGAAATTCACATGATTCAATATATCATAAAACGGATGCCAAGATTCATGTTTACGTCACTATCGCAAAGCTGCTAATTATACCCAAGGGCGTAAAAAGACATATAAAGCTTAATAGTGGAATTGTAAAATACTATAGAGGTTTCACTGAGAATTGGAATGATGTAAAATAGATGATATCAGTGTCGCAGTGTCTCGATAATCCCTCAAATAACTTGTGAAAAATACGTGTAACAGGCTCTTGAAATCACCAAATCATTTTAAATTGATTATGTCAAAAATCTATTTCCTTATTTCATCATTCAATTCCCATTAGACACCTCTTAAGGTTATGATAAGAAGGCAATAAAAACAAGTAATGATTGACGAAACTGTCACAAGAATCTTAAGATCCCTTGAAAGTTGGAAATCGAAAAAAGTAGGTTTATACCGCTTTCAAAATTCACTCATTGCACACTGCAGGGTGTTGCATGTGTTTATTATCTCATTGAGGCGCAGAAAAGTAAAAACAACTTTATTTCATTTAATTTTTGAAATTTATTGTTTGTCTTATATTGTCAGTCCACGGTTTTTAATTAAGAATAGAAGAAGCCAAAATATTTCAGTAATGAGATAAAATGGTAATTAACCACTCCCCCCTCCCCAATGCGCACTGTATTGCGTTGCCTTTTTAGATAGCTCAACTAGGTGCATAAGAGCAAGATGTGAAAGCTGCATTTTATCTAATTTTATTTGGGAGATAAATTGTTAAACTAGCATTTTGAGCCAAATGAATTCAGTAAAGAGACAATATGGCAAAATTTCCCTCATTGCACACTGCATTTATTAGTCCATGTTAGACCCAAAAATTCCATCCTATTTTATTTTATTTTGAATATACATAGTTAAACTTGTATTGTCAATGTCAACCCAAGTCAAAGATTTCAGTAATGAGACAAAATGATAAAATTTCCCTCATTGTACACTGTCTTCATAATGCCGTTTGTGATGCAGAAAAACCAAACGTAATTATTCCATTTTATTTCATTTTCATTTTGATACTCATTGTTAAACTTATATTGTCAACCTACCTTCTTTTTTTTAAAGCCAAAGATTTCAGTAATGAGACATTATGACTAATGGCTGAACACAAGCAATGGCTCCCTCGAGTCTCATTTAACCCTACTGATGCGCATTTTCAATTCTATACCATCACTCAAAGACAATTAGCACACAAAACTACAGGAAATTCTTTCAGGGCTTGGAAGAAAAATGTTAACACGTCAAGTTTAATTTAATGGTATAAAGAGTATTAGGAAGTGGTTAGAATTGCACTTTTGGATCCACTAATGGGCTTCATCAGACGTTGAATCAAATTAATTCTGTTGTTAAAATTGCACTTTGGATCTGTCTTCCAAGCAAATAATTCCCCACCCACATTTGGGCAGAAAAGTAAGTCTGAAAAATTTATTCTATTTAGAGTATCTGATTAATTTGTACATATACTGAAAGGTAAAAGAAACTTAATATATATATTTATTTCAAATGCTTATACATGTAAATATAGGCACATCAGTCAAACATGGTTAAATGGACTTCAGACAAAGCAGTAGAAATGAGTTTATCGACTATAATTGTAGTTTTCAGTATTTCAATCATGTTTAGAAATGACATTTCTGTTACCTTTCAGTTAAGTTAAGAATAGAGCTCACTCACCTTGAACATCTTGAAAAGCATTGCAAGATGGCCACCCTGATTTAATATTATGGTAGTGTTGTCTCTTACGTAAGAAATCGTTGTCATTCCTGGTGTTGTATAACTCATAATTCCCCATTTCATCTCCAGCCACCACTGTCCTCTCAGTGTCCCCAAATGAGTTTACAATATTTGCTCGTCCAAACCAGATTCCGTCACTACGAAATGAAGCTGAAGCATCCTTCGTTGTATTATTAACTTTGAGTAATTTTTCATAAGATAACAGAGGATTCGATGGACTATTTTGGGACTCTGAATCCGTTTCACTAGTACACGATCGACCATAGCATTGTTCTGAAACTGTCAAATATCGAGGAGAATTAGAACTCCCGTCACTTCTATCAGTATTGCTTCTTGTAGAATTTGCTAGATGTGCAATTGAAATCCGTTGTTGCCAGTTTGGACCTTCGGCATTAGGATTCAATAACAATGGAAATTGTTCACTTTTAATCATAGAATCTGATGAATTCCTTGAATGTGGAGACACTGGTCGAGATGGAATGTTGTGTACCTTATTCAAACTAGTATTATTATCATGTTCAAGTGGAGGTATTCGTGTCGTTAAAGGGTCTGAGCTCACCGAAGTGTCATTCGTCGTCAAAAATTTGTCGTCAGCCTTCGGCACAACTTGTTTGTGAATTGCGGAAAATATTTTATTTTGTCGACTTCTAAACATTTTCGTTGCTTTTAAAACCTTAGATTTCTTATATGATCTACTTTTCTGATCTGAGCGGTCAAAGCTGCTCAGAATCCGCTTGTCTGATTTTTGAAACTTCCGTTTTACAAATTTTGAGCTTCGTCCGGACCGTTGGGAAAAAGACTCAGCGTGGCTATCAGGGGTTATGTACGTCCAATGCAGATCGTCTGAAATTGGCTCTTTATTGCTTAGATATTTTTTCGTAGACAGTTTTTTGCTTTTAGAATACACACTGATTAGATCCAAAGAGCGGTCAATTATTATCCTTTTTGATTGGACGAGACGTTTTCGTTTATCTCCTATTTCAGACTGCTCCTTTATGGGTTGCGGTTGAGTGGCAGGAATATGTAACTTAATGCTGTTTTGGGCAGATTTATCTAGTCCTGAGAAGTTTCTGCTGCACACTGATTTATCAAACGAATCTTCCATCAGATTATGTTCGTGGACTCGTTCCTTATTACCCAGCCAGTACTCATCCATAGAAAAGCTACTTCCGAGTATTCTTCTCTTTTTACGCCACTTTTCAAGACTTTCGTCCATATGGATACTAGCTAAACTAAATCTAGGAGCACGTTTGTTCCTCAGACGAGCAAACTCATCTTCTGCTTCGCTAAATGAAGTAAGATTTGATAAGCAAATGGCAGCATCTTGTTTTTCAAATGCATTTGTCTTGGCGGGTTCATGATAGTTCCTTTTCGGTAAAGGAACATCCAAGGACCTAGTCTCTATTGTGTCAGCTTTGGTGCGGTTGTAGTCCGTACGAGTGAAATATGAATTAAAAGAATTTGCGCTCTTAAGGCACTCCGAAGCACTTGGTCCTTTGATCCTAACTGAGGAACCTAGTTCACGAATGCTGATGTTGTACGTATTACATAACGGAATCAATGTCCTTCTACGATTCATCTGCGATCGAATAACCATATAATCCAAAGCCGCTTGACGCTTCCGTGCCACTTTCAGATGGAATTGAGCGAACGAATATCCCAAAAATGACAGTAGTGACACCGCAACTAAGACCGATGGTAGCCAAAGCAGGGGATTGCTATCAGACTTCTCGCCCCTTGACGAGTTATTCACTGAACTCATGGTGTTGTTGACTATGTTCGTTACCATTTCACGCCTTAATTACCGATATATTTCATATTCTGCCACATATATACATCATATTTATTCTATTATTTATTGTTATTATATCAGCTATCTGTACATCATTTTCTGTTTTGAGTTCGAATATTTTATGGAATGCCACATTTCTTAAAAGAACATTTATTGCAAAGGCAAATATCGCAATTGGAATTTCTAGATTGTCACATATCATAGTAGACATCACATATAGTTATCACAGATTGTCACATAATCATAGTTATCATAGATTGTCACATATTGTAGTTTTCATTAATAGACTGTCACATATCGTAGTTTTCATTCATAAATTTTCACATTTCGTTATATCTTTTAATGTTTTTACAAAAAGTTTAATCACATTTCTTAATTTCCATTCATAGGTTGTCTCATTGCGTTATTAATGTATAGAATTTCGCAATTTTACCAATGTAAAATCCAACGGCACATTCGTTGTATAAGAGGCCCAGCAAAATTCCTCGGATTTAGTGATTTTCTATACAGTGCATAACACGGGAGAAACACATCAAAACGTTGCTATAAAACTTTCATCAGTGATTGTTATTTCACAACGCTGTGTCAGTAAAGTTTTTCTTTACGGCGTGGTTAACAGTGAAATTTTATACTCCTAACAACTTTTAAATTCTAATTCCAGAGTAAAGAATAAAAAATCATATTATACCACATGGTAATTAGTTGAATGTGTGTTTCTATGGCAACAAGAAAGACATATTATCAGGTACAATCAAACCGTGGACTTATTAAGTCTAAAATAAACAGGAATTATTATCTTTCAGACAGAAAAGAAGCCTGAACTTTATAATTAAATGCATTCATATGGACGTGTTTTCTTGCTGTATATAATGGCTGTTAATAGACGTTGCATTGTAGAATATTTTCGTTTTTCACTTCACGTACTGTTAAAAAAATTCGCCAACTTTGATCAAACGCCTCATATAGGAAAGCTTTTAATTTTCACAAATTGACTTCACAAAATGAGCAGAGATGACTAATTCAGTATCGCCAGACTTTAAAACGCCGAATGAACTAAGAACCCTTCACCACCATTTTTGTTTGACGTAACCAAGCACATCACTTGGAACGTAAAGATTCCAACGACCTAACCGACTATGCTACAGACCGTTGTTATACAGGTTTACAAAATTAAATGTTTCTGATGATCCAAAAATATAATTCATTTCAAATGATTTCAAATATTGATATTCAAAATGACAGTCACCAGACTTCAACACATCAATCCAGATTAGAGATCTTGAGCATCATTTGTTTGGCGTAAACAAGCACATGACGTTATATAAATATTCCAACACTGTAACCGACTGTGCAACAGTCCATCGTAATATAATTTCACGAATTTGAATATTACTGATGATCTGAAAATGTAATTCAGTTACTGTAAAACTACGTCTATCATTTTAAATGATATTCAGTTTTGTTGATGATATTCAGATCGAGATATGGAAATACATTATAGAAATCTCAATAACATGCTTACTTTTGTATTCAAAACTCTTCTTTAAATAACCACAATAGAATCAAATCAAATCAAGATCAATCAAGATCAATCAAGACTATAGCTTTATGTAAAAATTCACGTTGTTTCATTTTGTATGCTAGCGAGTATCAGACTTAGATTGTTGAAAATAGTAATATTGTCTTCGTTCATTTCACTTCACAATCAAATCGCAAATTACAAATATGTACGAGAACAAATGAAATATCCATTGAACACAAGTTAATGCATTTTGCTCTCATATAACAAGCCGAGTAGTCCTACAAACTGAATTTCCTATTAACAGTACACACCGTTAGGTCTATATGCTTCCGAGAAATCTGTCGGGTCTGTCACTCTCCTTAGAATAAAACTGACGAAATAAACTCTAAATTTAAAAGTGTCACACTTTGAAAAAATCAACCACTTTCCTATATTAGATAAAAACTGCCTTAACTGCTTAGTTCTAGTTATACTAGAATAACTTTGAATAAAATTCAGGAGTCAATAGTGTTAGCTTTAGTTTTGGAGAGAAAAAAACTCGTTGTGGTCTGTCTGCAGTATGTATTTCGCTATATAATATGTTGACCAATCGTAGACATGCTGCAGATGTTTATGATAGGCTCTATATGAATATTATTCAGAATATGATGACATATTCAAGTTTCCCAGATCTTCACTCACCGACCGAGATGAGATCCCACGACCACCATTATTCTGTCATAGATGCGTTGTAAGCACTTAACACTTCCAATAATTGTCAATGCACTTATCACTTGTTCATATCACATTGAAATAGTGCAGTAATTCTTACTTTTTAATTAACAAGTGTCAAGACCAAAATAACTTCAGTTTGTTATTTTTTTTCGATCCAGATAAAAAATAATTTCCAATATCAAAAGATCAATTCGTTGAAATGTGACACGCATAAGACTTAAATAAACTTCACCGGTTGAAAAACACAATCGCAGAGTAACAAGATGTTTCTAGTGAGATCAGCCGTTATCTCAAAACGAGTAACGACTATTCCAAATCAATAGTTTTTCAATTACTGAAAGGAAAGAAGTGAATAAGGCAATAATCAGCGTGTTGGTGGATTAGGACCTAATATGATATCTTCAGTTGATTACAAAACCACAGAGATGTTAATGGTGTTAATATCGTTATATCGCCCACATTTAACCCTAACATTTGGAAAATTGTCATCAAAAACGGTTCTGAAGATTTCTCTACTAACAGACCAAATATTACCAAAACAATCTATAATCCAGATCTTACTACCAACTACAACGACTACCAAGTAACTAACGCCACACTAGTTATTGGACCCATCCAGATCTGAAGATTTCTCGACTACCAAACAGAACCTAACTGGATAAAGATGTCCACAGGATCCCGATCCTAATACCAACAACTACCTAGTTTGCAACAATTGGAAACCAAAAAAGAGTAGACTTTTGTAATCAGCACGGCTCTTTAGTCCAACAGGTAAAATATAAAAATTCATTCCATTTACCTATTAACGATTTGTTAGTAAAATCTCATTGTAAGGGACATAACTCAATATGGCTTGGCACTGACAGGTTTTATGATGCACAATGTGCATGTCGTTTTCTACAAAATGCCAAGGTACTTAAGTTCACAAGACCCTTTTTGCAAGCTTATCCCCGAAATCCTCGTGAACTCTTATAAAAAATGTTTGTTTTGGTCTTTCTTTTTGCAAATCCATAAAGACTGGAGATTCAGAAATCTTTGTTTACAGTGCTTATATTTGGTCAGCAATGTTTCTTCTACCCACACTGACTTGTTCAGTGTAAATTTTAATTGTTGTTCTCCATTGCTTATATGGAAGTCAAGAGGGGAAGAGGATTATGCCTGTGGATAATGAATCAATACAAGCCTGCGTAGAAAAACAGTTTTATTTTTGAACATAAGAAGCAAGTTGAATTCAGAAAAACAACAGAAAAACAAAACTGGTGGGAGATTTTAATTATCAACTAATCATCATCCTCGTCATCATCATTATCATCATCATCAACATCATCAGCATTAATAATGAATTATGAGAAATAAATTAAATTTGTAACAGTAAAACATAAACATTGGGCTACATGTAGCTACCATAAAATCTATTGAAATATTTTCAAAGAAACAGGGTTACTTAATAGTTATTATAGTTATAATTATCATAGTTATTGTTATAAGAATTCAAAGAGGGCAGAATAACCACAAAATAAACTATGAGGAAAATGACCAAAGCAATAACACCCAGTAAACCAATACACAGACTGATGATTGAAAAAATCTTGGCAATATTTCCATCGCTTCTGCCCTTGATGAAATCGTTTCTGTCGCTGGCCTGCTTAGACTGAAATTAAGTAAAGCATATTAAAAGGGATTGTAAAGAGGTTTTCTAGACTTGTTTTTCTTTTGTGTAAAGAGTACACGGATAGCATCCATCTGTACCATTCCAATATTCAGTCTGACGTCTGTGGTTTTGTCATTCCATAAAAACCAAGCGTTTAATGACGTCACTATCGCAAAAGCTGTTATTATTAGAATCGTTTTCGATAGTGACGTCATATATTATGGTTTTCGGTTAACATTCGATTAAAGGACTGTACTCTATATGTGGTTTATTTTTTACCGTTATTTTGTCAAAGGCTCTGATTGTCTGTATTCACAAGCGTACAATCCAATAAATTCGCTTCATTTACAAACTTTCGTGAAACAAGATTAATTCCAAATATTGCCAAGGTTTTAGACGGAGTTCTATTAGCTTGACATGGTATATATGGAGTAAACCAGGTTGATTTCTAAGGTCCGATCGCAACCTGTGCTGACACTAAAACTAAAGACTCAATCAGGAAAAAATACTTACATTACAAGAAAAGACAAGAGCAACAATTCCAGTTGGAAAGAAGCAGAATAAACAGGTCAACAAGGAGCAGGCCAAATAGTCACTTGGTCTTTGGTTAACAACCACGGTTGAGGTTGGTTGTGTGACCTGAAATAGATAAGGTGTGGTTCATCGAGTGGCTTATCTTCAAATCATTAGGTGGGGATGGGGAGGGATCTTTTAGGGTAACAGATAAGTCACGGGGCATAAGTAGGAAACATATTTCTCTACAATTAACATTTGTGAAAATGTTGGCGCTCTAAAGATTAACTGCAAGGTTCTCTTATAGTTGAAACTTTCAGACAAGAAAAGGTGCACATTTTCTAGATTTTGATCTATAAGTTGCACTAATATGAGCATCTAACCTAACACATAACAACCTACAAAAATAATACCAGACAGCCCCTTGTTAACATGTATGATCGTATGACAAAAGTGTGTTATGAAATAAAATAGCACATAGAATAACATATACTTACGACAACGTTTGGTTGCCCACCTGTGTACATAATTTGGTTTTGGACAGGGTAACCTTGTTGTACAACATATCCTTGATTGCCATATGTCGGATATGGCTGGTTAACAACATACTGTTGGGTGATTACTTGCGGTTGTTGTGGGGTGAACCCCGGTTGTTGTTGAGGTTGTTGTGGGGGAATATATTCCGGGGGCAGTTGTCCTGCAAAATCAAATAAAATGGCATTATTGGTATTCGGGGTTTTTGATTTAGGGCACTAATGTATACCATAGAACACAGAATTGTAGGCGATGGTCCTGGGAGGCATATTGATTTACTGGTTTCTTTGAGAATACAAATAAAACGGCATTAATTGAAGGTTGTTCAGCAAATAAAAAAGGACATTATATACTAACAAGTACTAGAACCCCTTATGCGTACCATAGATTGCTTGAAGGGGTTCCTGATGGGCATATTGTGATAATTGATAATGACATTTCAAATACGCATAGACACGTATTCAGGACTTCCCTACTTGGGTACGATAGACCACACGAGGAGGGCGACGGAGTGGAGTAAGCGCCATAGAATTGTCAATAATTTGCAGATATCTCACTTTAATGCCAAAAATCCAAATTTTAAAAATGTCGAAATTTTGTTGACTCATTCAGCTCGAACAAAGGCTATGAGACAAATGGTCATCATGGATCTCAAATCTACGGTGGCTCACATACGAAATATTTCACTTTCATTTGAAATAATCACCTCGGTGAAAATTAAAGGTTTTACAGGAATTATCATCTAATTTTCACCTAGCTGGGAATTAAATTTTTGATTCAAAAAAAAAAGTCGTATGTGAGCCACCGTACAAATCTAATACATGTACAATCATACTATCATGTGACCATTATGTGATTAATGCATACAAAGGGATCTAGTTTTTGACGGTGACCTACTTAAGGGAAATAATATGTTTACTATATTGACTTGTCTATGGCCTATAGACTTGTCGCGTATTGATCCATAACGTATCATTTTTAACGTGTTATTTTTAAGGTGTGTCATTAAATTTACTTACGCAATAGGTACAGATTCTTCAATTATGTACAAAATATGACAAACGTTTCAATATAAAAAGAACTAAGATAATCAAATGATATCCATCCCTCAATCACCAAAATCTCTACAATGTTTCTTTGTCATTCTCTTACCTTATTTCAAGGTATATACATTATGTTTGTCGACTTGTATATTCAATCAATATATGACAGTCCTACAAATCAATTCTCTCACAGTGTTCCCATAAATTACGGTTCAAACGATTTGATAAATTAACCTTAATTTAACCAGAAAATTTGTATTATAAAACAGTATTTTACTTGCGATTTAAATCCAGGCCTACCTTTAGTCTCCATTTTGAACAAGGTCTATAAATAGAAACAGTAATACCACGTAATGTAAATATTAAAATGTCAATAGAAAAGGGCGAAAGGGCCAGTAGGGTCCCTGTAACAACCTATACTTTAGGCATATCTTTCTTACTCAAAATTTACTATGGACGTGATGTAGTAGTTTTACACGATATGTCGTCAAAAATGAACCCCCACGCCTCCTCTAAGTGCGTCCTCGGGTGTTGCCAAGTACGTGATAACGAACGCATCTATCTATCTATACTATACCTAGGGTCCAGGGTTCAATCCCGGCATAGGTCGAGATGATGCTTTCGGATTTTTCAACCCGGTTGCCCTCTGTCAGAGATGCAGGTAAGAGGGGCTGACATGGACAAAGACAAAGAAAGTTCCTAAAAGCTGTAGCGAAAAAATCCGAAAAAATGAATATTTTCCTTTCATTTCAACGAAAATACTTTGTTGTAAAATAATTGTACATCAATATTGTTTTTTTAATTCTACGTTTCAAAATCAATCCCTATTGAGGAATCAAGGTGTTCTTATGCATCTTATGAATGATGAATGTAAACGAGCTATTGCATACTCGATTAAGTTTAGAAGGACAGACATCTAATATGAAACAGGTTGTTTTAATTTGTTAGAATTCACTGCCTTATGCGAAGTGTTTTTTGGTAAAATGAAACAGGTTCCCAAGTATTCATTGATAGCTGAGAGTGTTAAAACGACGATGTGAAAATAGTAACGTTATTACTAATGGATTTCAAATGGCCTGAGAATTTTGAGCATTTAGAGGTCCAATTCACTTTAAAATAAGACATTCAATTCAAACAATTAACCAACTACCAACCAACCAACCAACCAACCTAGCTTTCAACAGTGTTTCACCCAGCCAAGTCATCTAATTATTGCTATGAATAATCTCTTGTGTTATGTTCTGTTGTCATCCGTAACGACACTGATTCTTATTGATGCCGGTAAATATTCTTTCAATATTATTGTGGTTATTCATTTTGTGTTTTCAGTTTTATTAACAAGTTTACTTAATGATGCGTTTTCCTGTAGTTGTAGGATAGTCAGAAACGCCGAGGTTATTGATACTACTTACAAACCTGTCCGTTTCTTTGTCTTTCAATGGGCTGGGATATTCCACATGTAGTCCTTGAAATAAGGGGTTGATATTCTGGCCAATGATATAGTTTACATATGTAGGTGTCAAATCCTAACAACTAGATGTCTATTTGACCGGTGACTGGCACGATATTAGAAGCCTGATTAAAGAATTCATAATAACTTAAAGTAGCGACCATATTTGAACAATTGGATTAAATGGAAATAATTTCATGAACATACCGAATTTTATCAAAAACAGGCATTCTTTTCGCCTTTTTCTGTGATTTCTTGATTTCCCGCATATTACCTCAATCATGTTGTCTGTAGAAAATTAGTCATGTACTATGGGGTTATGTTTAACTCACTTATCCAAATACAATCTTGAAAATCTTGTTAATCAATATTTAATATTCAAATTTGTTCTTATTCAAAATTATGCACTTACTAAAAAAATTGCACTTATATACTCATTTTTGCACTTGATCTTACACAAAAAATTTTTATGGGGGATTTAATCCAGTGTGGTTTCCGATATGCAAATGTCATCAACACTTCAACTTGAATTGCAAACCTAAAAAATGTTAAACTTTTTGTACACTACTCATATCAAAAAAGTCCCTTCATCACACAATGTCTCAATGTTTGTATCCAACTAAATTATCCCAATGTGCCGCAAAAAGTTATACGTCATACTCCATTTTATTTCAATTCCTTCGATATCTCTTTGTGATGATGCTGCTATAAATTCTTTAGGAAAACCAGTCTATGGGGTTGAAATTTGTCTCTACACATCGGACATTCCGACTGAAACATAAAGATTTAAAGTAAGGTTTTGTTTCATGTCAGAAAATGCTTCTAGTTCGTCAATTGTGAGGCCTATTGCCCGATAGGTTGTGCATTTTTGTGCAAAAAGTCTGACAGCCGACCAATTGTATGACTGCAAGTAAACACCATTGCCCCTCCCGATATATTACTTGCCCTTCAGAACATTCAATTCTGGCTAGGGGCCTGCATATGCCATTTGGAAATCTTGACGAAGGTTCCCTCATTGCACCCAAAGCTGAATCAGAAGCAATACAAGATAACAGCACTTCAGGTATATTTTTGATTAATACAATTGAGAGGAGTCAAGACTCAAACGTCGATCCTACTCAGAACGCACCTTATTCTGACACCAGGTGTGTATACAATTCCAACAGAAAAGATGACCACATGGAGCAAGGGTTGGAGATTGAATACCTTCTAAACACAGTGAACATTTTCTATAAATTAGTCCCATTCTTTTCTTTTCTGTCGTGCTGGAAAATATAAGTATAAACTATTACCTATGGTTACTGGAAGTCCTCAGAGATTCCACCAATTCACATAAACATTCAGAGTTTCATCCAAATCAGTTCAATGCTCTAGTTTCTATTATACTAACAAACAATACTACATACATGAAAGGTGCCTATTGCAGTCAAGGTATAAGACGATGTTCTTAATAGCTTGACATTGGTGTAACAGCTGTCACTTCCACTTACCTTCCAAAAGCGTGCGTCTTATAAATGGAACTTCCCATAGTAGACTGATAGTAATGGTAAAGCTGAATAAAGGCAGAAAAGGTTATCTGCCCTAATGATAGCCAGGCTAGATATTTAAACGTTACCGAAGACACGTCTGATGATGGTGATTTGTTACCCATATATTTAATCTAAAATAAATGAAGCAAATCGGAGTTTTCCGCGACAGATGGAAACATTCAAATAAAATTATTAGCCATTAGCCAAAATAGACTTCGAGTGTCACCAACAAAAATGGATCAAAGAACACATCCAAAATTTTGGTTTGTGGTCCCAGGGTTTCACGTGAGTGCCACCTACGCAACATTATCACCGTGACAATGAAGAGAAAAATAAAGCACAAAATTATGATAGACCATGGATGAAATTAAATACAAATTGAGCCTTGTGAATTGACACAAGTAAAAATGTCAATTCTTTTGAAATTTGCAATTCAAGGGAAATAACTTGATAAGCTGATATTAAAATTTATACTTGACTGTACTTGACTATGACACAAGCGTGGTAACTTAAGTGTTTGGGTGGATGCCGGTATTTTTGGAGATTTTACTTCATTAATTATTCATATCTCTCTCTCCGTCACTTTTGCACCTTGATACCAAGTCTTTTTCACTCTTTATACTCATCTTTATGTTTTGACACCCCTGATGCTCCGACACCCACAATACAGCTTATTTTAAGCTTAGTCGAAAAAACGATAGAGATCGTCATAAAAAAGCTATTTTTACCTAATGCGATACCCAAAGAGATATTAGTACCCCAGGTAGGGAACCATTTAACTTCAGGTGGTTGGATCGGTATGGTATGGAACCCCAAAAGCCCACTTACATAATGTACACCAGTGATACGCTTGGCAATATGATAGAAGACACCACGGAGATAGAAAATCCCAAGATGAAGCCGATGAAGGTAGATCAAACACTGCTGGAGTGCTCGGAGGGCTTTTAACATTTTTTCCGTCTCCTCCGCCCGATGTGGTGCCGTCTGCAACGTTGTTTCCAGATTCTTTAAAACTTTCTGGAGGATGTAAGGGCTGACAACGTGGAGAAGTGCCATCAACGCTCGTCTCTAAAATAAAAAGGATCCTGGTTTTAAAGTGAAAAATGAGCTAGTTTTTTTTTTTTTAAGGCTCAAATTTCGACGGCGAGCTGTTACCGATTGGCTTAGCTAAATAAATTCTGTTTCTGAGACTAAGGTATGATTGGTCACAAAATGGCACATATGTTCCTTCACCATTCAAAAGGCAACGGAGAGCATAATTATCGTCCAGGATCAAATTAAACGATTGGACGCCATACCATGCAAACGCCACGCAAGAGTGGAATTTTGCACAGGCATCGGCTTTAATCTCCACTTTATCGATTTCCTAGAGTCGAAGAATCGTTAAAGGACACAACCTGTAGCACACGGGACCTGATTTAAGAGAATTTCGCCAGGACAGTGACACAAGCACATTTAATAAATAACTGAATAATGAATAAGAGTACATAGAAATACATTTAAAAGAAGAATGACCTTATCAATCCGGACAAACAAAACCAACATAACACTATTGGTGCCTCGAATCATCAACTAGTCTATAACTAGTTTCTATAACTAATCATCGAAGAAAAAAGACAAATACGGTACGCTTAATTTGAATGGACGAATAAGATTTATCTAAACTTGATATTCCGACAACAGAATTTTTAGACTTTGTGTTCTAAAAGCTATCCTTTCCTTAGTTGGTAGTATGTAACACAATCGATAATTGGTCAATTTGAATGATGACGGAGAAAGGGACAAAAGAGCAGGAAGCTAAGGGTGGGGAATATCCAGACAGCTCGACCTACCGGTAGAGATGGAATGTGCCGTCTGGTAGAATCAACCTGGACTATATTAACATATTCTTCACCGATTGTCTGGTTGCCCGAGAGTGTCGTTAACAGGAAGTAGCCTAAGTCTGACATTACGTCCAGTTCTCTTCTCCATTTAATCCATTTTCTGGCACCTGAAATAAAATATGATGGATTATTTACGAGCTTCTAAATTTCTGCTCCCATCCTTACTAAACAATTTTTGCCAAGACAGCTGTGGAATTTCGACTTCGACTGCCAGAGAACCTGTAAGAGTCAAGTACACTACAGGTCAGCAAGAAATCATTTGGCTTTGATGGTATATCAGCGTCCTGATCAATTTTGTCCACAAAAGTCAAAAGAGCATTCGGAATAAAGTAAAACATATATTTATATTGTCCTTACTAATGAACAGGCCAGCTAGAATTTTGCTCTATATTAAATTAGGATGAAAGCACATATTGATCTCAACCAGAGACATGATCTGGTTGTCTGCTAGGGTTGACATTTGTAGATCGCCAGAATAAGTGTTTAAATACCATTATAATTATTGAAAAATTGGAATTTAGGGCTTTGGTTTCCCGAATCATAAAGGTCAAATATATATTTGAAAGCCTACCCAAATTTACAAAATCAAATTTGGAATTTGGAGATGGGTGGGGTGTCCGAGGGTATGCCCCTACCTACCTGCAAGCAATTGAAATGTCTCAGCAATAGACGTTCTCAGATAGGTTAAATAATAATCGTCTTTCTGGTGGGATCGTAATATTTCTGGTGTACCGGCTGCTTTAAACATCTTCCAGTCATTTATGCCTGCATTACCATTTTGTCAAAAAAATCTCCGAAATTGCATTTCTATAAAATTTGAAAATACAAAGGGTTTATAAGAGATTAGTAATGGAATACTGTCTCTTGGAAACTATAAATCAAGCTTGAGAAATTTAGCTGTAGTCTGTAACCGTGTTCAGACACGATGAAGGGAGGCTACTCGCATTATAAAGAGATATATCATGTCATCCTTATGCTGAATACTATATTATATAAACTATGACAGTAGCTAAATGTGCCATACACTTCAGAATAGAAAACGTGTGCAGCAACAAGTGCTATTACACTGAAGAACCGTGAATTTGTATTCAAGTAGCGGAAAGAGAGATACATTTCTTACCTCCTCGTCTTGATATCAATGATTCAAGGGGCGCTACTCGTATATGTAATAATAATAAGACAACAAGTAACTCTTGAATTGACTTTCAGGACCGTATATAGAGAGAGTCTGGCCAACTACGTCACAAGGCGCCATCTTGTTACCCTCTCTTAGCTACAAGACGGCCGACGTTATCCCTCGTAAACGCTCTAGAATTTACAGTTTTTACCGGATTTTGATAAAATTTGTTATGTCTATACAAAAACACAAAAAGAAGATAAATTTTGAATTTTAGCACTTTCCAAATATTAACCACCGAAATATTAAACCTGTAATCTTCCATATTAAAATAGGGCCTAGCTGTATATTCTACAGCTTTATGGAACAATAGGCTAATCACTAGTTATAGTTTATGCAACATATTGATAAGTAATATAATGTATAATATAATTCATATTGTTTTTGATCAATAGGCCCGTGTGCCTGACGACTGTCCTATAACCAATGCCGAAGAAATTTAGTCCTCCTGAAAATTGCTCAAAGCAAGATGTGCCCTATGAATCGTTTCAACAGAAACAGGCCCGTAACCAGACCAATTTCCCAAGGGGGGGGGGGGGGGGGGGGAATAATTCCAGGGAGGCGCCGCCCCACCCCACTCCCCACCCCTGTCTCTTTTACTTGTGGGCCTGAACAGAAAAAGGCTCATTATTCAGTTTCAATCAGCACAATTTATTTTATGACATGAAGGCATGAAAGTTCACACCACTCAATAATCATCATTTCAGCTTTGAAACCATTTTGCACAGCATTTTGCTTCAGCTGGCGGCTGTTGTCCTGGCGATCTGTTTCTCTTTGACTGTCGTCGAAGTGATTCTGGAAGAGAAACCAAAATTTACACAAGTGACTAGCCCAAAAGACTTAGTGCTCACATTATCGTCTAGACCCACAGTCTACATTGCCCTTCCATATTTTTCTGCGAATGTCAATAACGAAATAACATAAACAATGGTGGCGTTTCATTTGATCTCTAAAGGGGGTGGGGTGATACTGATAGGCATTTAGGAAATCAATGATATTGATAGGGAGAAGGGTGACTCGCCCCTTGCAACATCGTACAAGCACCAATATGGCGCACACCTTTAAATTATACTGTTTGTTTTGGTGATTGGAAGTAAATAATACTAAATACTAAATAAGTAAATAGTCTTAGAATTTCACATTTATAGAAAAACATAAATCGATCGATTAAGTGTAGGCCTATCAGAAATGTTGTTGACAGTGTCTCAGAAGCCATAAGTGCATGCTCCTCGTCTAGGCCTAGGCTTAGATAGCCAGTGCGTGGAAAGAAACCTTCTCACAAAGTTTCCATATCTATTATATCCAGTTTTTAGACCTGAACATAACACAATTTGCAAAACCTCTGAAATCATCGAATGTACTTACATCGCATAGAAAAGAGTTGTCGTGGGGAGTCCAGTCGGATCGTTTGACCTTTACTTCCCATTCTCTGCGTCTCCTTTTATCCTTAGGGAACCTGTGCATCACTATACCTTCTCCAGATTTGACAGAGCATTTCTATGCCACACATCGAGGCATTCTGTTGCCAGACAAGACCCGGAATTAGGGGTAAAGAATACCCAGGCTCCTACGCCTAAACGTCGCGGGAAGGGTAACAATATGGCGGCCTTCAATCACGTGACCGCTCTGCGCCAATCATGGTTCAGCGCGGCGAGATCACAAGTTGGCCAGACTCTCTCTATATACGGCTCTGTTGACTTTGCGATTAGATAAAGCATAGAACCGTCAAGTATGTATGTCATGGTAGTCTTATGCAAGAAATCGCCTTCATGTGATGATAGATAGTCAAAAACCTTAAAAGGGATATTATCTATCTAGTTTACTCCCAATTGAGATACAAATTTGAAACACAAGAGTTTCTTTTAGGCATTAGATATTGGTTTACTCAAAGAAATATAAAATAGCAGCGGGAACTGCATGTTCACTAAATTGAAATATCGACTTGGCTTGGCTTTGAAAACCTATAAGGTAATGTCAGGTGCAGGGAAGGATTTTTTTTTCCAAGAAAGAGGCGCCCCTATTTTGTTCGAGGGCATTGGGGAAGATGGCAGTTGATTGCAGAACGAAATTATTGAATAGACATTTTTGTGGGTAGCCTATTATGACTATATAACAACAAATAATTTAATATATCCATTCAGATGTCAGTAATAATTAAATTCAAAATTCAAAAAGTCTGATTGATCAAGCCTAATTACCCTTTCAATGTCATGCAAAACAAGGTTTCTCTGGGATATCAAGACGCTATGAAAATATTGTAAAAAAAAAGATAAATTGTAAATTACTATTTTTCCTATTTTGTTACATCAAGGAAACTTCTGGGACGTCGACTTTAATATATTTTCTATGTGGGTTAAAATCTTTTACTGTTATGCTTCCGTGTCAATCTGATTAAAATATATTTGCATTTAAAATATCTGCAATCGGGGTTCAATTTGACTTAATAATTAATGTACGAACACAATTCCTCGTTTAGGCGATATAGAAAGAGTTAGAACCATTGTACTGTTACATAAATATATAGAAATGTTATTTACAGAATAAGAGCTTACAATCTTTATGCAGACGTAGGTTATGTTTTAGGAGGAAGCTAAAATAATCTCATTTACGCTTATAGAGATCGAGGTACCAAATGAACACTTGGATTGGTTGAAAATAAGGTCATTAGAACGGGATAGAATTCGAAACTTGTTGGATCACAATGGAGACGAAAAATAGCAGAGAAAGGAAATTGTAATCAATTATAAACTAGAACCGTTATAACGGTACCGAAGCAGTGCGCATCCAACCTGATACATCGATAACACGTTGCATTTTAAAGTCAAAATGAGATATCTTACCGGAAAGAAAAGCATGTAAACATTCAATAGTAAAAAAAATCGTTTAATCCGTTTAACGTTCGGTAGTGAAAAGACGCATGGATTTGATACCATTCGGTACTAAAAGGTGTTAACATTCGGTAGTAAAAAGTCGAATTTTCAAATAGCTGTAAAGTTAAAAGCTCAATTCGCACAACAAAAATGAAAATATTTTTGGAAAGGTACAATAATTTGTGTTTCGGCTAAGAGGTCAACAGAGGTCAAATAAAAGAGAATATAAGCCTTAAAAGTGTTGAAAATTGAATGAATATGAATTGTCATCGTAGATCAATAACCTTTGACCTTCTAAAGACCAAGATTATGCATGTAAATGGTCAAAGTATCAAAATTTTATAAATTGTAAATCTTATTCCATTTTTTTAAAGTAAAAGGCCTAAACAAAATGTAACTCTATCAGATATTGTCCCAAATAGTGCTTTAATTTTTTGTAAAATTTCGATGGTGAAAAATGCAAAATTTTCGAGTTATAACAATTTGAATTATTTATGGTAAAGGTAAAAGTAACCCGGATTTGCCACGCCCACTGCAAAAATTTTGTGTTGTCTGTAATAATGTGTACAATGTCAAATAATGTTCAAAATTTCAAGTGTTTACAATCATTAGATCATGAGATATTCGTAGTTAAAAGTTTTTTTTAAGGCAACGGTGACTGTCGGTGGATTATAGAAACCGTTAAAATTACGCAAAGTTACTATAGAAGTCAATACAAAATTTTCAAATTCAATTTTAATCAAAATACCAAGTTTCAAAGAATAGATTGCGTGTAATAAGGACAAAAGATAAATTTTCGCTTATGTAAATTAGGTCACGTGATAGACCTTTTTTTTAAGTTAAAAATCGCGATTTTCAATTGGCTGTAGAACCGGAAGTTAACGGAGCACGACAAAAGTGAAAATATTATCGGATATATCTCGTAATGGGCAACAACCTTTGTTCAGGTCAAAAGGTCAACAAAGGTTAAGTAAAAGTAATATGAGCCTATGAAGTTTCGAAAATTGCTGTTTTCGGACGTCTGTAAAACCGGGAGTATATGTTGCACATCAAAAATCAAAGTAGGAGTGGTCATCTTAGATCAATGACCTTTGACCATGCAAAGGTCAAGGTCATTTACGTTAAAGTTCAAAAATGAAAATTTTTAAAATTGTTAAACCTGTTCCCTTTTTTAAAGTAAAGAACGCAAACAACTGTAATCTTATCACAAATTGTCCTAAGCTGTGTTCTACTTTCATGCAAAATTTCTAGGATGACAATTGCAAACTTTGCGAGTTATAACAATTGCAAATATTTCAGGTAAAGGTAAATGCCCACCGGATGTGCCACGCCCACTTCAAAAATTTTAATTTGTCTGTGATGATGTCTACATTGTTAAATAATGTTCAAAATTTCAAGTCTTTACAATCATTAGATCATGAGATATTCGTAGTTAAACTTTTTTTTATGGCAACGGTGACTGTCGGTAAATTATAAACACCCCGATTTTACGCACAGTTACTATAGAAGTCAGTACAAAATTTTCAATTTTTAAAACGCGCAATTTTGATCAAAATATCAAGTGTGATATATCGCCAAAAAGGAGAGATCATGCACTCTAAGAATATATAAGAAATTTTGTTATATGTTAAGTAGGTCACGTGACAGAGCTCTTCAAAGTTAAAAATCGCGATTTTCAAATTGCTGTAGAACCGGAAGTTAACAATGCACAACAAAAGTGAAGATATTATTGGATAGATCTCGTAAGAGGCAACAACTTTTGTTCAGGTCACAAGGTCACCAAAGGTCAAAGTCACTAGATATGAGACTTAATAGTTTTGACAATTACTGAAAACATAAAACCGGAAATAAAAAAAATACAAAGCCAAAATTCAAAAATCGGCTTCCCATGTTTTGTTAGCAATCGATTGTTGTTTACATAAACATCAAATTTACGCACATCCAATTTTACCCTGAAGCCCCATTTTGAGTTTTATAAAAATGAGTCATATCAAGATGGCGTCTTACACAATACTTCCGAGTCAAATTTTTTGATTCCAAAATTGTTATAGGGACAATTTTAACTAATTTCAAAAAGAATTTTTCAAATACCTACA